AAAAAAACGTCTAAATATTAAAATCAATGTTTACATAAGAATAAGAACTTGTCTAGGTAGTAAACAATTCGACAATTAAAATATTATTTGAACTTTAAATATTTAGGAGATCCCAAAATGTTAAATGACTATAAAATATGGTAGAATTCTTTTAATTTTACCCGAATGTTGTAAACTTAGTTGTCTCTCTCGCTCTTCAAGTAAGTAGGTAGGAGCAAGTAAGATAAACGTTATGCCGTTCCCTGGTCCCACCAGTGGTATGTTGTCTTTCTTGCACTTAGGTCGTTTAAAAGAGACAGCAAACTTTAGCACGCCTATCTACTTCACTCAACCAAAACATAACAGTGATTCTCAATAGGTTAAAAAATGCAGCAAAAGAAATTGACAAATAATGAATGGATGTTTAATAAAATAAACAGACTGTTAACATTTTGTTTTGCTTAAAAACATACAAGACTTATTAATTTATTAAAAAAGTAATAATAATAATAACAAATTTTAGCTTAATGGCGTCTCATAGTTTGAGAACGACTGGTGGTCCCTCCTATTTTTAGCTACGCTTGACCGTTTGCATTTTGTCTCACTCATTCGCATAGTAACAACAAAGACAAAACTATTAGCGCATGGGATTGTGTTATTTGACACAGTTCTAGTTAAAAACAACATGGAAAACGTAATTTTCCTAAAAATTCAAATCCTAGGTGGTAATTTCTTGTTGACGAATCTGTATTTCCAATTACACAATATGCTCATTGTGTCACGAAAAAATAATTCGTCGTTTTGTATTTCCTTTTTCAAGTTTATTATTAGCCACCCCAAAGGCGTTTTCTAGATCCGCCACTGTCAGTAACTATTGCCAACTTAATTTCAAACTCACAGGCCACTTGGTGTTTAGGTATTACAATGGAAAAATGGAACGAACTGTGCAAAGACGGCGTGGTGAGCAACTTCGACGAGGTCTACCGTCTGACATATTTCGGGGGCGTAGCCCACGAGCTTCGCAAAGACCTATGGCCGTACCTTTTAGGGCATTACAAATTCGGAAGTACAACCCAGCAACGATTAGAACTAAGTGAAGAAACCAAACAAGCTTACGAAAACACCATGTCTGAGTGGTTGGCAGTTGAGGCAATCGTCCGACAACGCGACAAAGAAACCCAAGCAAATGCCATTGCGAAACTGAGCAGTGAAAGTATGAGTGGTGAGCAAGTCCCAGCTCAGATTCAGCGTGACTTAAGCAATGAAGTAGTTTTTGCAAAATTGACACAAATCGATTGATCTAATTCGACTATTTAAGGTTTTCGAAGATATGTTAAGCGATGAAGATTCAGAAGAAAAACCATCAGAAACGCGACGCAACACCATCAGGTATGAGAGCGATGGAGAAGTCGAAGAAGTGCAAGTTAACACACACGAGGAGTTGAAAGATTTTATCCACAATGTTATTGTGACAAACGCGAGCGTGGATATGGGAAATTTGTGCAATGATAATGACACAGGACACAAAAATAATCTAGATGTTGTTGCTGAAGAGAATTCCTCGCTTGATGCTTGCATAGAAGCCCATGGATTGGCATCGCCGGCTAGATCGGCGTGTGTTTCACCGGCCAGCTCCAATGGAGGCGTTTACAGTGTAAGTAGTTGGCATAGCAACGGCGCAATTGCGGCACTGTGATTGGCTATTGTATAGTCAAGTCAGGGGCGCACGTTTATACAGGGTGTTCCGTTTTTATTGTTACAAATTTAAACAGGTGATAGGATATTCAATTCTAAGACAAAAGTTTCCTATAAACATGTATCGAAAAATGCTTGGTAAGGGAGCTACACCCCCTGGAAGGGGGCTAATATGTTTTTGCTAATATTTCAGAAACCGTTTAAAATAAAATTACAAAATTTGGTACAGATGATAATCTTTATACACCTAAACGAATTCAAACATAAAATGTCGAAACTTTTAATCAGGGGCGTACAAAACTGGGGGAGTTTAGGGTAAAAAAATTCCCTATTTATTTTGGCTTTAGTTTCTCGGTACTTTCAGCAACAAAATCTTAAGTTCGATAGTTTATCACAGAAAAGTCTCTCTTGTGTCGATACGACTTATTGCTTTTGAATAAAATTAATTTAAAATTTATGTTACACACCAATACAACATTCAAATAAATCAGAATTTACAGAATAATAAAAGCAAGAAGTTCATATTTTTTAATCAACTTCAACTAATTAACATTACATTACAGTAACAATAATAACATTAATTAAATGAATTTGCCTAAATCTAAAAGAGTTCAAAGTGACCAACATTTTGGTCAATGCATAACTAAAGAAACTAGAGCCAAAATAGATAGGGTATTTTTTTACCCTAAACCCCACCAGTTTCGGACGCCCCTGATTAGAAATTTCGACATTTTATGTTTGAATTCGTTTAGATGTATAAAGATTATCATCTGTACCAAATTTTGTAATTTTATCTTAAATGGTTTCTGAAATATTAGCAAAAGCCTATTAGCCCCCTTTCAGGGGGTGTAGCTCCCTTAGCAAGCATTTTTCGATACATGTTTATAGGAAACTTTTGTCTTAGAATTGAATATCCTATCACCTGTTTAAATTTGTAACAATAAAAAAGGAACACCCTGTATAATCTTTTTCATTTTAATGTGCATCAAGTAAGTTGTAGAAGTCTAAATGCATCTTTTATTTAAACACAAAAAGTGTCATTAATACCGTGCGATCAAAAAATAAATAAATTAGATAAAATAAAACTAAAAACACCACAAAGGTTAAATTTAAATGATCATTTTAGCAAGAACTTTTGGAAACTTTTGGTTTGAACCTCCACCGAATCGAGAAAGACGTGCAAAGATGCGACCGCAATTACTGGTATTTCACAGTGGATAATCTCGAGAAATTACGCAACGTTATGTGCACGTAGGTCACAATTTGGACGGTAAAATATCGAATTTTTCTCATTCCCATTTCTAGATATGTTTGGGAACATCTAGACATCGGCTATATGCAAGGAATGTGCGACTTGGTGGCCCCACTTTTGGTGGTTTTCAACGACGAATCGTTAACTTATGCTTGTTTTTGTCATTTGATGGAACGAATGGTTGAAAATTTCCCGAATGGCAATGCCATGGATTGTCATTTTGCCAATATGCGATCTCTGATACAGATTTTAGATTCGGAAATGTACGAATTGATGCATTCACATGGTGATTACACACATTTTTATTTCTGCTACCGATGGTTTTTGCTCGATTTTAAACGAGAATTGGTTTATTCGGATGTCTATGCTACGTGGGAAGTCATTTGGGCCGCTCAACATGTCGCTTCAAGTCATTTTGTGCTTTTTTTGGCCTTGGCCTTACTGGAAACCTACAGAGACATTATCCTGTCCAACTGTATGGACTTCACCGACATAATCAAGTTTTTTAACGGTAAGTTAATGAAACTAAGTTGGCAACACTGGATTATTGGTGATATCAGATAGTGGCAGCGACGGCCAGACAATTGACTATAAAAATGTGACATTTGAAACATGTTGCCAACCTAATTTCAAAGTCAGAAATTTACTAACTTTTCCAATGCAAATACCGGGTGCGGCATCCGTTACGCTCAGAAAGAAAATCCCCACTTCTAATTAAATAAAATTGTTGAATTTTTTTACACTTACCTGGACATTAGTAAGCTACATTCTCCAAGTTTTTGGTAATTTTTCATTTACAAACAAAACCAAAAAAAAATAAAAAGTAATTTTCTCCCAAAAAGTTTAATTCTAATTTTTATACTGTCCTACGCAGATTCACTTCCTACAAATGTTTACAAAATCAGAAAAAAAAATACCAATTAGATTTTCAATTAAACGCAATTTTACATCTTAACTTTGAAAATCATTTTTATTTATGACCTGCTACTTGTGCCATCGTAAATTTAGGTGACAATGGAGAACTGCAATTGGGGTAAGATTCCAAGGTTTACAACAAAAAGACTCTTAAAAGCGGTCGGCTACCAGTAAATGATTCTTTTGTTACGGTCATTTATTATCAAAAAAAATTAGAAAAATTCTCAAATTATACCCTATCAATAATTAGTTAGGTATATGAAATATCGCCAGTTTTAATTAATTAGAAGTCGCGTAACCGATGCCGCACCCGGTACAATGTATTAATTTTTTTCAATTATTCGTTCAAATTGTGAAAAAACAATTTTTCAGAAATGGCCGAAAGACACAACGCGTCAGCTGTGCTGTCTCTGGCCAGAGATTTGGTGCTTCAACTGCAACTGTTGATCGAAAACAAGTAGAATTCGATGTAGTGTGAAAATTACTATTTTTAAGTAGATAGAGGATAAATCAAAAAATACCTCACTATTTTTAAAAAAAAATTGATTTTATTTACCGATTTGAATTGCCCAAAAAAGCGTGCCAAAATGTTTCAGTTTGAAAAAAATTGGTTAAACGTGTGCTTCATATTTTTATATTATTGTTGTTGTATCGGCGTTTATTTGAAGTGTTGACGGTTTGTAAGATACGATATTTATTTTGTTAAAAAAATACTATGTGTAAAATATATATTTTATAAAAAGTTAGAGAACGTGGAAATAAATTCTATATTCTGTAGTTTATACATTTTAAACAAGAAACAATATTTACCAAATACAAATATTTAACTTATCACTATTTTATGTATGAATGTTTAAATGTGCCTTTTTTATGCATCTTTCACACAGTATTTTATCTGTATCAAAACATAATAAAGTTAATGGGATTTTGTGCTTTGATTGCAACCGTGCCAAACGACGTCCCGTTTAACTTTCTTATCTGATGATTTAACGAAATGTAAATAGAACATATCAATTCTTCTTATCTCATGTTGTATGAAATATAATTATTTAATATATTATTTTGTGTACATTTCTACCTTTCACTCGGAGTCGCTGTTAGGGGCCAGAACGTCCCCTAGCACCGTCTCACTAAACGTGGGGTCAAAACAACGCCCAAACACCATTTTTACCTTCTTACTCCTTGGAGACTCCGGTGATTTTGGTATAACATCATCTAGTCTCTCTTTATCATTCTCCACTTGTCTCATCAAATCACGAAAACTACTTTCTTTGGAAAAATCACCACTTTGCCAATTCTCTGTTTCACTAGGTTTCTTATTGCTCGCCACTTTATTCGATGAACTTACAGTTGCAACTGAAGAATTGGTGTCGGAATATGGATCAAGTGTTGCAACGATGAAACTCACTTCAAAAGTGGGATTTTTTAAAATTATAGATAATGGTCTAGAAAAATTATTTTCATTTTGAATTACTTAATTAATCAAATAGACGTACTTTCCCCCAATTTCAAAGTTAAAATCCACGTCAAGAGTAAAAGTTTCAGCAAAATGAACGAGGGTGCGAAATGGTTTCAGGGAGAAATTAATTGAAGTGGTTTTTGTAATCTGGTAACTCAGAAACTCAGTTGAGTTCAAGTTGATTTGTGTTCGCATCATTTTTGGACGACAAGGAGTACCTAAAAATCCATGCTTATGCAACCAACAATACACACGTGTACAATGGACTACTTCGGTCGATTTTAAAAATAACAAATTGGTAATTGCGCACTTACCTAAGCAATAATTTCGCGCCACAACCTTTTCTGGGGTGATTTCAAACGTAACTTCGTCGTCAGTGAGATTAAACATTGATAGCAATTGGCTGTAGAATGAGCTAGAGGCTGATACATTACTACACCCTGAATTGGTGACAACCCCAATTGATAACGTTTCAGTATCCATGAGACGTAGCTTATGTACCATTACAATATCGTCACATTTGTATTTCATTTTAAATGTGATTAAATCACTATCTGTTATGTATTCGATTTTAAAATATTCGAGCTGAAAAAAGACACTAAATAATTTTTTAAATCACTATTACACCGTACCTTTTTCTCCAAATTCCCCTTAAAAAGCGGCAGAAATATCTTCATGTGTATTTTACAACTAATGACTTCGTTTGAATCATCTTGGTTCATTTCATAACTGCTGAAAAATGTATCTAACAAATTAAAACGGGCACAAACTGTCTTGCTTGAATTCAATGTTATGAAAGACAACCCCTCGGTTTTTGCTTCCATGAACAATTCGTCGCCGATTTTCGCCAAGGCCTGTAAAGCTTTGGCTAAAACTTTAACAAAATTTAACAATGTAATATAACCTCACATTTTACCTTTCAGATTCGTCCCCGGAATTATACAGTCCATGACCGTTTCGTGAAAATGAACTAAACACAACGACTTATAATCAAACTAAACATTTTAATCCAAGATTAAGCTCAATTTTTTAAATTGACAAGTTTGAGCGTCTGACATTTGACAATTACGAATTTCTTCTTTACCGACACGGCCGAATGTCAAAATTGCTCTCTTGTAAATAATTCAAACATTTAAATAGAATAATGGGGGTGACCTAATTATTAAGCAAAATAAATTTTTTCAAAAGCGAGAAAATTTCAGAGTGTTGACAATTATGAATTCTTCTTTACCGACATGGCCGAGTGTCAATGTGAAAATTACTCCTTTGAAATTAATTAAATTATTTAAACAGGGAAATTGGGGCATCCCAATTACTACACAAAGCTCAAGATTTTGAAGCGCAATCAAGTTCAAAATTTTCAGTTTGAGTGTTGACCATTATGAATATGAATTCCTTCTTTACCGACATGGCCGAGTGTCAATGTCAAAATCCACCCCCTTGAAATTAATTAAAACATTAAAACACTATATTGGGGCGCCCCAATTTATGTAAAAATGGTAATTGCCGGTTACTTGGCTAGGGTTTGAGTCAAGTTTGTGCAATTTTTCAATTAACCTAACTTTTTACAGCTGGTCCTGGTTTTGGGCGATTTACACATTCCTCATAGATGTAGCACTTTACCCCCTAAGTTCAAAAAACTCCTCCTCCCCGGCCGGATACAACACATTCTTTGTACGGGAAATTTGTGTACGAAGGAGTCTTACGACTATTTAAAAACATTGGCTAGTGATGTTCACGTTGTGAGGGGCGATTTTGATGATGTACAGTGCTGTTTGTGTGTCTTTGGCAAAAATAATGTTCTCATTTTCAGAATTTAAATTATCCTGAACAGAAGGTAGTGACCGTGGGACAGTTCCGTATCGGCTTGTTGCATGGCCACCAAGTGGTCCCCTGGGGCGACCCTGAATCCCTGGCCTTGATTCAGCGACAGTTAGACGTGGATATCCTTATTTCAGGACATACACACAAATTTGAAGCTTACGAACACGAAAGTAAATTTTACATTAACCCAGGATCGGCCACAGGGGCCTATAATGCACTGGATATGTAAGCCCATTTCCCACTTGTTCTGTAAAATTTACACAAGTGTTTTAGAACTGTAACACCGTCTTTTGTCTTAATGGATATACAGAATACCACTGTTGTGACGTACGTCTATCAACTGGTTGGGGATGAGGTTAAAGTCGAAAGGATTGAATTTAAGAAAAACTAAATCTTTTATATTTATGTATAAATTATGTTATTGATGAGTACAATTTTACTTTCAAATATTTGTAAATTCGGAGAAGTGTATCAAGTTTTGCAATTTGTATTTATATTAATTGAAATCTCTTGTTTTATATACAGAAAATTGAATAAAAGCGCTGGTTAGTACAACGTTTTTATTTTTACCTCAATTTGTAAGAAAAACCGTAATTGATTGTGTCGTAATTATAAAAAAAATTACAAGGTGTATTGTTGGTTGCCTACATAAGAACTGAAATTTCCTTATATTTGCACAATTTTATCGTCAAATTGTATAATAACGATAAGATAAGTCACAGTGACCCCCAAAACGTCTAAAACGGTCTTCGTTTCAATCGTGAAATAATCACAAGCGCTGAAAACCGGAAAATAATGGGTCGAAAGCGAGACAATGAGCTCGTCCAACTCTCCATTTGTTTTTAGAGCGATTTTTTTAAGCACATTTAGGATTTTTACGACTTTTGATCGTACTCTCCCACATTGCAGTATCAAAATAATTAGTGCAACCTAGAAGGAAATCGTCAAAACTTGAAAAACAAATTACAATCATCATTACAAAAAAAATGCAAAGTTGGAGCAAATCCGATGATATAATTTCGGCCATCTTGTCCGATTTGTACTTGTGTTCATTCCTGACAACACTACTGACGTAATCTAGAAGCAGTAAAGTCGAATATGACGTAAAAAGGAGAAAGAACCAGCCAAAAATATCATTAAACGCATCAATAGTCATTTTGAATTTGTAACAGTCTTTCTCCACTATTTTTGTCAAAGTTTTGACATCCAAAGTGTCAAGTATTTGTCTGTTTATCATTTCGTAATGTTCTAAAAACAGTTGAAGACACGTAGAAACGACAATTATGTCAAAATACAGATAGTAAAGTTGTATAATCAGGACGATTTTTCTTAGAAGGTAGTCAAAATTTGACACGAAGTGACCCACATAAATGTTGTATAGGGCAAATATTAGAAAAATTGCTTGTGTCAGAATTAATTGCACAAAGCTTGATTTGTTTGTTTCGTCGTGAGACAAACTTTTAAGGAGCAAATTCCATTTTTTACGTTTCAGGGTTATTGTCAAAGAATTGACATTTGACAACCACAATGTCACATCTGATAAAACATTTATGACAAGTTTAATATCGGTCAACTCTTTGTAAACCGGTGCTTGATACAATAATGAGATTACAGCACCCCCTGTTAGTAAAAATAACAAAATTAAAATGTAACATTTTTGGAAAAAAAACTTGACTGGTGCCAGTCCCAAAAACTGGCCAATTCTCAAAAGAAATTTGAGTTTTTTCAAGTTGGACATACTGTCACAAATCACCGCAACGTTGGAAATGATTTGATAACTATCAGTGCTTTCAACAGGAAATGGGTTCATAATATTAAACGCTTTTTTGTATTTTTAATATTTAATTTTGATGACAGGTGACTGGTGTAATTAATGTTGATACGTGGGCATCACTCTCCAAAAAAATTTGTTTCCGCAATTGGCACAAAAAATACTTCAAACGTAAATGACACTTTATTTAATAAAAATCCTTACAAAACAAAAGTGCGATAAATCTAAAATAAAATAAATAGACAAAAAGGGGCAAGATTTAAGTACAGTGCAACTTATAAATTAGTTTGTGAAAATTTAACCCTCTTTACATTATCTTCGCTACTATTGTCCAAATCGGTGGAATTCCCATCAAGACTTTGTACCATCGAACTTGTAAAACTAAACCTGTCCTCATCCCCGCCTTCTGATTGGCTGATCGAACTGACATCATCACAATCAACTATTTTCCTCCCCTCCAACATTTTAACCCTACCATCATGGTAGACATAAATCCCTTTATGGGTTTCCCCCAAAAATCGCACATTTTTCAAATCAATTGTGACATTCCCCGACATCCCTCTTTCCCCAATTTTCAAAATTTCCACTCCGGTGAATTGAAAAATGTACAAAAATGGCGCCACAAAATGGAACCCGATTGGTAGATAACTCGTTTTTAACTCCTCCTCCCGCGAACTTCGTCCATATTCGTCCACAAACACCGAAAATTCATTAAAACAAATCAAAAATTCTTTCGGGTTATCCGAAATTTGCAAAATGGCCACCGGAAATGACTGCATTTTATGACACTTGACCGCAAATTTCAATTTCGAATCTGACCCATCGAGAAATTCCTCGGCTTTAAATGTCGCTAAATCAATTTCGAAAAATTTATCAGCGCCAACTATCAACGAGTGTTCCGTAAATAACGCACACCCTAACGGTTCAGCCGTATCCATGATTCTCAACGGTACAAAATCGTAGTTTTCACAATCGTATTTCACTATTACCAACTGTCGACTAGTCGCAGCACAAAATAACTGATGTTTGGGGAATTTCGACGCTTCCAGGTAGTGAAAACCGTCCATTTCTTTGATTTTGATGTCGCTATAAGTCAGGACCGGCTTAGTACAAGGCGCACATTGAGTTAAATTTATGAGATGGTTTAAATCGCAGGAAATTAAAACGCTATTTAGACCGGAAATCATGACGACGATATTGGAGTCTGGGATTATCGAAACGTGGTGAATGTCGGTGGGGCCCTCAATATGGAGGAGTTGGCCGTTGTGGTAAGAGTAGAGACCTTGATCGGTGCCTAAAAGTTTGATGTTTTTTGTCAAATCCAGGACGCAGTTGGCGTAGATTTGGTCGGGGAGGGCGAGGGTGGTCTCCAGGTGCTGGCCGGCGTCTTCATCAAAGAGCTCTTGAAACGCTAAGAAAAATATTGATTCGGCCATTTATTAAAACGTAAAATTTCTTTCTTTAAATAAATTTTTTTTAATTTTTTTTTTAAAAAAAAAAAAAAAAAAAAAAAAAAACTAAACTACAAACTTGCAAAACGCTTCCTGTTTTTCGTCAAATATGAAATTTTTATGAAATTAAGATAGCATAAATATGATTTTTTTACTTAAAAACCAAATCGTGCCCAAAAATTTATCGATTTTCAAATAAAATAGTATATTTACTTGTGATAGTCATAAAAATGGTCACTTTTGTGACGTGTGCAGATAAAATTCTATTAAATTAACGATTTGTTATAACATTTTAGTTAAAAAAAAATGTATTTTTTTACTTTACTGGCTTTTCGAACTAAAGTTTTCTTCTGCAAAATGTCAAATTATGGAAAAAAAAAATTGTAAAATATGTATTATTTTTTCAAAATTTTCATTTTTATTTCTCCTAAATGAGACACTGTAGCAATCTAGAGAAAGTTTCGAGAATATTAAATTAAAAAGCGCTAACGTAGAAATTTTGCAAAATAAATTTGTTGCCTTCGTGGGCCGTGTAAAAAATTCTATTAAATTAACGATTTGTTATTAACAATTTTGTTAAAAAAAATGGTCTTTTTTTACTTTACCTGCTTTTAGAAATGCACTAAAGTTTTTTTTTCTGCAAAAAGTCAAACAACGGAAAAAAAATTAATTGTATGTATTATTTTTTCAAAAATTTCATTTTTATTTTTCCTAAATGAGACACCATCGCAATCTGTAAGAAATTTCGGGAATATTAAAAAGAATCGAAAAACGCCAACGTAGAAATTTTGCAAAATAAATTTGTCTTCGTGGGCCGTGTAAAAAAAAATCTATTAAATTAACGATTTGTTATTAACAATTTAGTTAAAAAATGGTCTTTTTTTTACTTTACCGACTTTTCGAACTGCACTAAAGTTTTCTTCTGTAAAATGTCAAATTACGGAAAAAAATTT